AGTCATCCGTATCTCCAGAGTGGACGGCACCAAACCTATCCTCTCCACACAATCTACAGAAATAAACGAGTGCGTTGCACCCGTATCAATAATAGCAATCAAAGGAATATTATTGATAATACAAGTACCTCTGATCACACGCTCATCACTGGCAGCTTGAGTTCCTGCCAAGGCAAACACTTTTCCACCAGCCGGAGACGTTTGAGGCTTCTTCGGCTTCTCACAATGTGTACTGATATGACCCTTCTCACCACAGTTATAACAGGTCGGCATAGTTGCTCTGCAATCAGCTATCACATGACCTGGTTTCCCACACTTAAAACATTTCTTGGCCTCATTAGGACAATCATTAGCACGGTGTCCCATACCACCGCACCGAAAACATTTCCCCTCAGCAGATGCTCTCCCATCTCTAGGCTTCTTATCAACAACAGCTTTGCGTTTTCCCTTATCAGCAGCAACACTATAAGGAGTACCACTAAACCTCTGCTTACCCTTACGGTCATTAACAGCTTTGTAGTGCGCAATCCTTGCTCGGTTATCATTATCATAGATTCTGCTCCTGCCTACCAGCTCAGGATAGCTCCTGATCTTCTGACAAGCAATCCCCAACTTAATCTCTGGACGCAGTCCATTCTCAAACTTTAAGCACTTAGAGGTCATTGCCCCCTCCACATTATAGTGGGGACAATACTGCACCAACTCCTCAAACTTGGCAGCATATTCTGCTACCGTCATGCTACCCTGTTTCAGCTCTAAGAATTCAATTTCCTTAGCGCTTCGGATATCTTCCGGGAAATACTTCTCCAGAAAACCTTTCCGAACCACCTCCCAAGTAATGGTAGTTCCAGCAGCTTCCAACCTTTGGCGACTATTGTCCCACCAGGCTTCAGCTTCACCCTCCAGCATGTGAGTACCAAACCTCACCTTTTGTTCATCGCTACATTCCATAGTCCTGAAGATCTTTTCAATTGCCTTCAGCCACTTCTGAGCAGCTTCAGGGTCCAGAATTCCTCCTTCAAATGTTGGCGGCTTGTTGCTCCGAAACTGCGCCAAACTCCTAAATTGGGCATCTGCAGTTTGATTCTGATTAGCAACTGCCTGCGCCATTGCTTGCATAGCAGCAGCCAATGCAGCATCGTTCCTTCCTGCCATACTGCTCAAAACAACAACACCAGGTTTAAAAGATATTCAACTCCATCCATAAGGACAGACCCAACTCGACTCAACAACACTGGCCGGACGGACCGACCTGCTCTGATACCAATTGTAACACCCCACTTCCCAAAATCATCTAAATTAATAAACATTATAAATAAACAAAATCAGAGTTTCAATTCTCCCAAGTGGGATATCACATAAAACAACGTTTCCTTATAAAAAGGTTTTCCTCCAAATACAGCGGAATGTTAAATAATAAAAATTCAATAAAAGTTTGATACGTTCACAGGGAAATAAAATATAAGCTCAACATAAAACAAATAAAAACGCCCAAGTCCCGTGCTACGTATCAGAGCATCCTAGACTCGACAATCACACCAATATCCAAGCTAGCTAAGCACCTGGATTATCTGTACTTCCGAAGAAGCACAGACCACAACAACAACAAAGGGGTGAGAAAACATGATCAAAAATATAATGGTAATGTAATACATGTAAATAAGGTAGTACAACACACCAACACACCAAGATTCACCCCTAACAACACCATATGACGAACCTACTGTTCAAATTACAATATAACATATTATAATGCAAAATGCAACTCAACACCATGCATGCGGTACCGACTCGTTGGTTCATTCAATCGAACCTGGATAGATCACTTACGCTCCTCCTGAGACATGATCTATCCCCCACCATTCTCCACAAAGGAGTACGGATGAATCACTTACGCTCCATCCGAGACATGATTCAACCCCACCATTCTCCACAAAGGAGTACGGACAAATCACTTACGCTCCATCCGAGACATGATCCATCCCGCCAACACACCATGATATGCACACACCAATGCATAACTATTATGTTCAGGCACACTAAGTGCACACGATCCTCCTGATCATATCATCATACATCAATGCATATATGTACAGATATAACATACACCAACACCATATAAATCAACCAGATAGTAAACAAGTTCATATTCTATCACCAAGATACAAACACATCCCACTACTCGGGGATACACGATCCTACTGATCACTACATACATATATATCAACTAATTGTCCACTAGTCATTATTACGGGAAACATGCACTATCACCAAGTACACAAGTTAGTTCCCACACTCATCATTCTTACAGTGCATCAAGGCCAAAGGGATCACACAAACCCAAGCTCAAGGCCAAAACATCACAAAAATCACATTCTGGTTCTGCTACGTTCGCTGGCATTCGCCAGGCGAACCTGCTGGCGAAGCCCTCATTTCACTATCGTGCACTCGCCAGGCGAACCTTCATTCGCCAGGCGAACCTTCGCTGGCCACACTCGCCAGGCGAAGTTCCTACCCTTTAGGTCTGGGATTTAATTCTGAATTATTCGCTGCCATTCACCTCAGCTCGCCAGGCGAACACTCGCCTCCACTCGCCAGGCGAAGCTTCGCCAACACTCGCCAGGCGAAGCCCAGCGAATGCTGCGATTTCACCAATTTCTCACAGTTCTGCAGAGTGCTTTCTAAGCCAAAGGGGTTAAACTCCCTACTTCCAATTCACCTCTTAACATCAGTACTAACAACATAGATATCATAACTTATCGGTTTCTATACTACATTCCCAATTCAACTCTTAGGCATTCTATCGATATCCCAAAAGGTCACACAGAATTTTCCCTAAAACCCGTAAACCCAACCTATCCGCCAAATTAACCAAAAACCACAATTCATCAACAATCAACATCCAATTATCAACAATAGTCAACAATCACAACATATCAATATGTAATATCATATATCGATCAATCTCCTACGGGGTTAAGGACTCCCCACTACCCTATACATGTATAAACCATTTCCCAATCAAGTTTCTCCCCCCTTACCTTGTTAATCAGTTGATCGATGAAAGAACCCTCCAAGGTTTGGCCAATTCTGATTTTCCCCCGTTCCTTCGTTCTTCACTCCCTTTTCCGTTCTTCTCACTTCTCTCCTTTCTATCGTTCTTTTTCCACTTTCTCTAACTTCTCACAATGTATCGTAAAAACTGCTAACCCCTCACATTCTCTATTTTAATTCTCTAATCCCAATAATAATAATAACTTAATAAAATAATAATAATAAAAATAATAATAATAATAATAAAAATAATAGTAATAATAATAGTAATAATAATACTATTATTATCTCACCAAAATAATAATAATATTAATAACAATAGTAACTATAATAAATATAATAATAATAATAATAATATTCCCACCAATATTAATATTATACACTATATTATTATATTCACCAAAACACCACCAATAATCCTCCCACATTAGGGACACCCACCAAACATCACCAAATACACCCCCACCAAAGGGTACACCAACATATAATATTTAAAATAATAATAAAATGACTAGATAATTAAAATTGGGTGTTACAGGCTGCATTGGTCTAGTCTAGATGACTGGACGTACTCTTTCATATGAGGGCGATTGGTAGAGATAAGATTTCGGATGGATTTGATAACACTTCTTTGTCTTTTGAAGATGTTGTACGGACTCAACAGAGGAGGTATTGTTTCATAAATTTGAGCATCTTCAGGAACATGAGAGTACTCAATAAGGTTTTCTATTTTATGAGAATTAGTCTTTTTACAGAGTTTAGGAAGTGATAAAGAAGAAGTAGTAGTAATAGGTTGAGTGTTTGTTTCTGGTGTTTCCATGTTTAAGTGATTTCTCCCTTACTCACTCTCTTTATTATATTCATACCATATGCACCCCTTCTTTTCTACTCAGGCTCTGATACCAAACTGTCCGGGAGCCTTACATGCCATGAAACTCAACCTTAACTGTATCGTGCTCCAATAGCCAACCATAAGCATAACATGGACTAATTCTCATAAGGAAAAAAACCTAAGATTATTAAAAATAAGGAATCTAAAACTTTATTTTTTAAGGGACTAAAAAGTTATAAAATTAAAAACGAGGACCAACACTACATTTAAACATATTATTTTAAAGAAAGTTAATATAAAAGTTAAAAATTTTAAACAAACCCACCGTTAATTATAACGGTGTAAAATATCCTTACACCATTAATGTACTCCAATTAAATTATTTTACTACTAAAAAATACAAAAAGTTGACTAACAATGAATTGTATATTTGGTAGAGTTAAATTATGTTGAAACATTATACCCATAGTAAGTAATTTTCAAAAAAAAGTAGAGTTAAAGTAATTTGTAAAATTTTGACGCAAAAAGAATATTTAAGTATGTACAGTCACTTTTTGACCAAGAAAAAAGATAAATAAACTAAATAAATACACCTAATAAAATTAAAACAATTTTCAATACGCCAGCATTGAAATTTATGGCCGTAAACTCTAAGTGGAAAGGAAATTATTAATACACGCTACTTAATGCTAAAAACTAAGAAAACGCGTATTAATCCTTCAATTAGTTTAAACTAACTTTATTCTTTCTCCATGGAAACAAGAAAGTGATACTCCTCAAGTCACGTGATATGCTGGCAACAGCTTAATTTCTCATATTTTGCCCTTTCAGATTCTTTCCATTTTTTGAATTTGTAACATTTTATTTTGTATTCAATGACATTTTATTATATTTTTAATTTCTAGAAATGTAAATAATTATTTAAAATTACATTTGTTGTTGTCCTAATTAATTTCTGTGAGTTTAATGGTAAATCCGTAATAATCTCAAACTCCAGACCCCATTGTATTTAACACTCTTATCAGTAGTACCTTTGTTGTCTCAAATACTTCAGTGTTCATTCTCACTTCACCTTTTTACAGATCTCATTCTTCTTCTTTTCAATCTCTTCAACATGCACCGACCACCAACAATGGCGACATTCACGGCGGCAATTTTACTCCTCTCCGCCGTTCTCACAACCTCCACTGCACACAACATCTCACACATTCTCTCCCAAAACCCTGAGTTCTCCACCTTCAATCACTACCTAACCCTAACACACCTCGCTTCCGAAATCGACCGTCACACCACAATCACCGTCCTCGCCGTCAATAATGCCGCCATGGACGACCTCATAGCAAAACACCTCTCGATCTACACCGTGAAAAACATCCTCTCCCTCCACGTCCTCGTCGACTACTTCGACGCCAAAAAGCTTCACCAAATCACAAACGGAACCGCTCTTGTTTCCACATTGTATCAAGCCACAGGCTCCGCGCCGGGAGCCTCGGGACTAGTCAACATTACCGATCTTCGCGGTGGAAAAGTCGGATTCGGCGCTAATGTCAACGACGGAACCCTACCTGCTGTCTACGTCAAATCCGTTGAAGAAATTAAGTACAACATTTCGGTTATTCAGATTAGTCAGATTATTCCCTCCGCGGAAGCGGAAGCTCCTACAGCAGCTCCTAGCAAACAAAATCTCACCGCGATTATGTCCAAACACGGTTGCAAAATCTTCGCCGACACTCTTTTTGCTTCGACTGAAGCTTATAACATTTTCACCGATAATCTCGACGGTGGATTAACTATTTTCTGTCCCGCCGACGACGCTTTCAAAGGCTTTCTTCCAAAGTTCAAAAACCTAACTGCCGCCGGTAAAATCGCTCTCCTCGAATTTCACGGCGTTCCGATATATCAATCTATAGCCAGTCTTAAATCTAACAATGGAGATGTGAACACTCTTGCTACCGACGGTGCTGAAAAGTACGATTTCACCGTTCAGAACGACGGTGATGAGATCACATTGAAGACAAAACTTGTAACTGCTAAGATCACCAACACGATCATTGACGAGCAGCCGCTTGCGATCTATACTATTTCTAAGGTTCTTCTACCAGAGGAGTTGTTTAAGAGTGAAGCTCCGAGTGCTTCTCCTGCTCCGGCACCGGCGCCGGAGTCTCCAGCTGCTGATGCTCCAGCTCCTGAGGCGCATAAGAAGAAGAAAAAGAAGGCTGCTGATGCGCCAAATGATGATTATTCTGATTCGCCTGCTGATTCGCCGGGAGATGCAGCTGATGTTGATGCCGACGATAGCGCCGCCGGTAGGTTTCACGGTTTCGGAGTTTTGGTTTTGGCTTTGTTTTTCGGGATTCTAATGCTGTGAGGTGTAGCATAAAATTTATAATATGTTGCTTTTTAATTTAATCCTTTTAAATTATTTTTAGTTTGTTTAGTAAGGGAATTTAAAACGATGTTCTTATTTTTTTCGTGTGGGTTCAAAGTAGGGCAGGTGTGGATTTTTATTTGATTTTTTATTTTGTATTTGACAGTGTTTTAAATTTAGTGATGACGGAGCATGAAATGTTTCAAGTGTATGCATTTGTTTACTATTCTTCAATTATCTTGTGATTAATGTTTTGGAAAATAGATTAACTTGTCTTATGGCTTGTGAATAGACATACACCTAGAAGGAGGACTTAGTTCAAGTTATATAAAGAATATATGAATTGATAAAATTATATGGAGAACACTCCGGTACTCTTGAATTCAGTTGGGTGAGTATTTTTATTCAATAAAACATTCACATTTATGTTATGTTATTTTTTTAATATATTTTATTTAAAAATAAATTAATATTTTAAATTAATTTACACTATAGGTATCTAAGAATTTATTAAATTATTTTAGATTCTTATAATATTTTTATTCATACTAATGCTTCACTCCCAACTCAATAAGTTATAAGCTAATGCAATTTGGTATATTTTTTTTCTCTTCTAGTTCGTTCCAAATCAAATTATGTGGAGACAATTTTCCTCCACCAGCCACACTCCTTCACCACCGTCGTTCCACATGGTAAGTGGACGGATCATGAAAAATATCTTACCATGCCTTTTAGGCAACTTCCTTTCCATTTTAGGCGATTTGAACCAATATTTTAAAAACCGGACCAATTATCTAATCGGTCGGTGAGAGTATTGAATCACTGGTTTATTAGTTGAATTTGGTCATTGGTCGAACCGCATGACAAACTGGATTAAACTGGATAACTTGGTTGAATAGACCTGTCATCATAACAAAATCATATAGGTATAAAACCGGTTGACTTTTTTGAAAATATCATATTATAAATTCTCAAGTTCATAATTTAAATTCAAATTTTAAACATAAGTATCAAATATAATAAAATAGTACAAAATTACAAAGTCTAATTGTAAATAAAGTCTAATTGCAACATAATATAATTGAATAATTTATAACAAAATAACTCCAATGTCTACTTAAGTTTAGTTTCAAGAAGGTAAAATTATTTCAAAACAATGATAAATTTTTATTTTTATTTTTATAATTTTTATAACTCAAAATGACATTGTTTGCATTTAAATTTTAATTAAAAAATAAAAAAAGCATTAGAACTGTCGGTTTTCTGGTTTTTTTCTGTCCAACCCAATTTGCACCGGTTTTGACCAGTTTGATGACAAAGGCGATCCAATTTGAACCAGACCGATTACTAGCCCGATTCCCGGTTCGGTCCGGTCTGGTTTTTACAACTATGATTTGAACAATATTCTTATTTAGGCGCCCAGACCTATTTAAAGCAACTAGATCACTTCGAGCGTCTACCTTATTTCGGGCGACTAGATTGCTTCAAGCGTTTGAGCCTCCTTTTGCCACTTGCTCGGATTATACTATCTTGTCGAGGATTATTCCTTATGCATTGTTATGATTTGATAAATCTCATATTGTAACTTAAAGTTATAATTTCTATAGTTCATTAACAAGTAGTATATATAAAGGTGTACATAGTGGGGTAAATTCACCGAATTCTATCAAACCGACTTATCAAAAAAGTGAGTTGAACGGATTAGTGGATCAATATGATTTTTAAAAATGAAAAACTATAAAAAACAATTGGGTTTTGGGTAAATCCATACCCAACCAATAAATTCACTCAATTCAAAAATTTTACCACTGATTACTGAATTTTTTATAGTTATCTTAATGAATTGATATTTGAATTAATATATGTTCTTGATAAACACCTTTTGGATAATCTCTTAAAAAAGGATCAGGTGAGACCACAAATGTAAGGAGATTTTCAATATTACTTGATTGCTTTTCTGTTGTTCCCATCTCCCTTTGTGAGAAGTCTTTTTATACTCATCTTACTCCCTATGATCATTAAGAAGTGTCCCCTTAAGTTCCATGATTAAATGACCATCATAACGCCCGTCGCACTCATTATTACCATGTAACTTCCTCTTGATCACTTTCTGTAACTCTCATGAAACCTTGGAGCTACCCCATAGTTGTTACGTTGATCTGTACATATTGTCTAAAAAACATATATTTAATAATTCTACAACCTTGGCTCCGACTTGTTACATCTATAGCAACTCAGCATTAGTCATTCTCTACAAATACTCGACATATTGACTCACCATGCCCAACCTCAATGGCTTAAAAGTCGACTTTGAGAATTTTGGGATGTACATAAGCCCCCCCGATCACGAGGCCTAACGAGATAAAGTGTTTAGACAAAGAGTCTTGGAATTCTTTTCTCCTTGAATTGAGTCATATTTTCGTCTAATGATCACCTTTATGGTCTACTAGCGTTTGAGAGTGGGTTTTTAAAGAGTAATAGTAATGACCGTCTTGTCATATTTCTTCTCTCTCCTTGTCATGATGACTTTTATGGGGAAGTCAATCACTATCATGACTCTAGTTCAATAGGGTTTTGTGACCATTGTAAAATTTGTTTCCATAAAACCCCCACCTTCTTTGTTCCTTTGCTTATCATTTTCGACTCTTGTTCTCATTTCTTCAAGATTTGTTTACCAGGTTTTTGCGCTTTTTTCCAATCGCTTTTACAAACACAAGTCTCAAGTATTGTTTCTTTTCCTTACTTACTTTAACTTAATTCTTTTATTATGGTTATAATACGCAAGTGTGATGATTTGGGAGATGTACAGATTCCCCTCAATGTACAAGAGAGAAGGAAACTCTAGGATGAAAGCATGAAATAGTGCGAGGACCATCTGGGGCAAGCAAAATATGATCAGATTATTAAGGAAGTTTATGGTGACATTTCTTCACCTTGTAGTGAAATTGATTCGAAAATCTTCGTCGCCAGGTTCTGTGGGCATTTTGATGGAGATGGCTGAGTATTTTATTGACAAGGAAGTCCTAAGGTACGACCACAACACACTTGACAACAACTACATTTTAAAACTCCGATCTAACAAAAAGATTTTTTCAACCAGGAATGAAAAAGATGTTGCGCTGAAACCTTATGTGATTGGTGAAAGAGTTTCCATCACTCGACTAAGGGGAGTATCAAATAAATATTTTTATTTCTATTAAGGGGTAATTGAGGATTTTAAGATCTGTATCCTTTTTACTGATTTTGAATCTGGTTATGTCAGAGGCTTCAAGTAGAATAAACTTCAGTTAGGCCATAGGTTTTATTAACGTTACCTGACCACAGCCGATCATGCTAGAGGTTTCAAGTAGCTTAGACTTTAGTTAGGCTAGAGGTTTTATTAACGTTGCTCGTTCACAACCGATTATGCCAGAGGCTTCAAGTAGCTTGGACTTCTTTCTAGATTGTGTCCTAGGACCGTCTTACCTGCTTTATACAATACATTTGTTTGAACTATGAATGCCTCATTAAAACCCTTGCCCTTGCAAGGGAAACGAGTGCATTCCCATAATTTTTATTTATGAAGTTCATTACATAGTCTAGCTAAGATAACACTAGTTACATTTAGCTAAGATAACACTAGTTACATTATATGTCCTAAATATAGTTCCACGGTGGACACCAAAGAACGGGGCCTCGGTAAAAGTTGCTTAGGCCACACAAAAATCACCATCAGAATCGCTAATAGTCCAAGTGGTTTGATGTCAGAATCATTTCCCAGTCGAAGTGATCCACCTCCGCCACTGGATCTAACCCAACTACTCGCGGTAGCGGAGCCTCTCTGCCAATAGAAAAAACCTTGCAAGGTAATGTTCATGTTTTGCAAGCACAAATAAATAAGATAGGAACATAGAAGAGGAACCTATATATTCCCAACCTTTTCCAGAGGCAATATGGGAGGATCAAGTCCTAGAGAACTTCAAACCACCCTCATTGGTAATCTTTAATGGTAAAATCGACCCTCAGGAGCACATTATTGCAATAAATAATCAGATGGCAATAGTAGGGGCTTTCGAGTCCCTTAAATGTAAAATCATGGACGAGACCTTTAATGAAGGGCACTGCAATGGTATATGAGTTTACCTAGATTCTCAGTTGTTAGTTGCCAGGACTTAACTAAAAATATGGTACAACACTTTTCAGCAAGCAAACATAGAAAAGTGTCGACTATTAGTCTATTTAATGTCTGACAAGGTTACTCGAAATCCCTCAGTGAGTATTTGGAAAGGGTTAATGAGGAGATAATTAAAGTGTCTCATCTGAATCAAGACATGTTCGTAGGAGCATTCCAACATGGCCTTAAAGCCGGGCAGTTCAATGAACCCTTAACACAAAAGTTGGCATCCAACATGGATGAGGTTATTACCTGAGCGGAATGCTACATAAAAGGGGAGGAAAGTAACATGGAAAAGAGGTCTCTAGATGCCAAAGAAAAAATATGAGTTAAAAAGGAGGGATATGGACATAGGAAAGACTACCCTAAGTCTAGATTCCGAGACCGATCAACGATGAGGCCACCCTAGCATTCGTTTGGCAAAGAGGCAGGGTACACCCCATTGAATTCTGGGAGGGAGTATATCTTAAGAGAAGTTTATCATCTTAAGTTAATTCCTACATTGGGACGTCCTAAAGGGGTCCATGTTGTGATTGAAAAAATGAGAGTGCATGGTGTGCATACAATAGAATTCATAGACATCACACAGAGAATTGTCATCAGCTAAAAAATGAAATTGAGATCTTAATATAGAGAGGTCGCCTGTTGTCTTATGTTAAAGACATCAAAGGAAATCCAAGAAAGAGAAGTCCTTATTGGGAAGATACCAACTCCGAAAATCCCACGGAAAAGAAGGGAAAGAATGTAAAGGAAGTCTGCGAAGCCCGGGTGACTCGTCATTCATTGAACACCATTGCTGGGGGATTCTAGGGGGAGGAGAAACTAGTTCAGCCAGAAAAAGGTATGC